TTTTTTTTTTTCAAGAAAGATGTTGGGTGTAATAAATTATTATGCCTTTTGGATAAGTCTAGAATTAAGACAGTATAATGTTATATGATTTTATGTATTCTAATGATATTTACAAATGAAAATTATTTTATTTCATTACCAATAAGAATGCTTACTTTCTAGATCCTCCAAAGGACAATGGTGGTTCAGAGATCCTCAAGTACTTGCTAGAGATCACTGATGGAAATTCTGAAGGTGAAGTTTTGGCAAATATCTATTCAAATCAAGTCACAAGACCCATTTTCTAATATGGTGATGTGGTGTGAACATCTTAATAATAACAGTAGACAATCATTAATTCTAATACTAGAGCTATCATAATAAACTTTAATCATATTCTGGCAGTTTTTCTCTTTCAAACACAGCATCAGTCTGCTTGAAATGTACATTTTTGTCATGTTTAAAATTTTTGCTGGTTTTTTTGTTTTTGTTTTTTGATTTTTAGACAGTTGCCCAGGCTGAGATGCCATGGCCTCAGCCTAGCTCACAGCAACCTCAACCCCCTAGACTCAAGCCATCCTCCTGCCTCAGCCTCCCAGAAGCTGGATCATAGACATGCACCACAATGCCCAGCTAGTTTTTCCTATTTTTAGTCCAGACAGGGTCTTGCTGTTGCTCAGGCTGGTCTTGAACTACTGACCGCAAGGGATCCTCCTGCCTTGGCCTCTCAGAGTGCTGGGATTACGAGTGTGAGCCACCGTGCCTAGCTTAGGTCTTCTTTTTTTTAAACTAGAGTTCCTGATTAATAGATAAATAAGCTTAATGTTTATCTTTCCTAATTTGCCACACCTTTTATGGACAATTTTATAAGCAAGAAAATTATCAGAAGCCATCAGCAGAAAGGGTACCTTGGAGACAGTGAGGGAGTTCAGTAATTTACAAATTCTCCTGTAAGATGACAAATCGTATATAGTAGTATAGGCTAGTGTCAAGTGTTACACTTTGGTAGCAAGTTTAAAAAATGCTTTTCCATCTTCATGGTGATTTTCCAGTCAGATTATTTACTCATCACTATTCACACTGTGTGGATTAAAGGAGTAATGTTAGAAATCAAATTCCTTAGATGGTGCCCTTTAAAAATTTCCTAAATTTTCTTTTTGATAAAATTCAGTAGTCTTTAGTGCAGAAAAATATAATCATTACAACTTTAAAAATTATACACAATCTCATCCCCCAACTGTTAAAATGTTGTACTGCCTACGGCCAAATAAGAAAGGAAAAAGAGACAGAGCCTCGTGTCTCTGGGCTGGTGTGCGGTCAGCCACTTACTCTCTGGCACAGCTACAGACAGGGGTTTGGGTTTTTAAGTTTCTCAGGTCCTCTTTTAAGCTGAGAACATGAGAATCCTTTGAGATAGGCACAGATGTTCTTATGTAAAAATCATAAAAATCTTTTTTTCATAAAACTTTTGTGCTAAAGATTTGATTTAGTTTTTTTATATTAGTAAAACTACCTAGGAGAGAAGTCACATAGATGCCAGTGGCTCATTATAAGAAACTTAAGTATGTTTTGAATTTTCTTGGTTCTTTTAGCTACTTATGGCGAATCTGTACTTAAAGTTAGCAAGTTTGCCCGTGCAGGGGGAGTTCTGAGCACTGAGTCTTTCCAGGAGCCCCTGCTTGCAGCAGCCTTTTCAGTACGGGTTCTCAGACCTGGAATGTCAGTGTCATTGTCTTCAGTGTCCCCTCATGTGGCCTCAGTGCGTGAGACTTGATTGTGAATCTAACCTCATAAGCAGCTGAGGGAATTTGTGGAAGTTAATCTTACAAAGAATCAATAAAGTACAAGTAGTTTCCCCAAAACAATGTCATGTAGTAAAGGGTTTCGTTAGGTAGGCAGCTGGAAACAGCCTGAGTGGGAACAAAGCAGAGGGGAGAGAAACTCCTCCCGAGGCCTGTGGCCCAGGCACTTTCCCTCCGGTGGCATCTGTCTGGTCAGGCTCACAGCCTCCTGGTGACCCTGTTTTCATTATTCAGTTTCCAAAAATGGTCTGATAAGCTGGGTCGCACAGTTCCATCTTTACATTGTCACCCTTTCAGGTATTTTTGTCTTTTAAATGGGGTTCCATGAAGACAGCAGGACTTTACCCTTAAGACCTAGTTTCCTTCAGGAGGATTTCACTCACTGTGACCTCCAAACAGCTAAGAGCAAGGAGGGACTCTTCAGCTTTGCTCCAAACTTGCCAGAAGCCCGTGGCGAGCAGGCCGCTGCATCCTGGCTGCCCCACGGCCTGCACCCCGAGTGTGTCAGAGTTTTCTCAGCACCGTCCTCGTCCCCACTCCTCACTCCCACATGCAGAGGACACATTTCAGATGTTTTCCTGCAGCCAAACTTCATAGTCAGCAAATGATGATGATCACAACTCTCCCAGTCAGCAGTGCTGAGCATTAGAAACGATTTCATGTTATTTTAGTATTTCATCTTTAGTTAAAGGCAAGGAAAGAGAGGTGTTTGGCTATTTAAAAAAAAAAACACATGCACACAAAAACAAGAGGTGTTGGTTTTCGTGGAAATCACGTAGAGTTTTTTCTCAGCAGTAGCCGCTGCTGCTGCGGTGGCCACAGAGGTGTAGACTCATCCCGAGTCTTGTTTTACAGCCAGCCAGTGGGAAGTGGCGTACAGCGGGGCGGCTACGGAGCACACGCTCGCCCGCCTGAAGCCCGGCACGCTGTACAAGCTCCGAGCATGCTGCATCAGCACCGGGGGGCACAGCCAGGTGGGTTAAAAAAATGTGTCTTGGTCATGCAGCCTGCCGTAGTCTCATGTCAGGAAATGGAAAATGGCCTTTTCAAAACTGTGCTTCTGAGGACACAAAAGGATGAAATGATTCTTAGCTTGTGGTATTTTCAAGGACATTTGTCACTTAGTTGTTTCACAGAGGGCCTTGGCATAGTCATGTGACAGTTAAATCACCAGAAATTTTACTTTAGGTTAATAAGGAAGACCTAAGTTATTGCGGTGATAGGAAAGTATAGAACTCAGAGTCTGAAAGGTCAGCTCTGCACAGCTCCGCACAGCCCGCGCCTTGCTCCGGGTGCCTGCTGCCATCTGCTGCCATCTGCTGGAGGGTTGCTGTAAGCACAACGTAAGTGGGCTGGCTGAGCGGGAGGCGCCTCCGTACTGTACCGGCCTGCAGGCGGCTGCCGCTGTCTGGTCAACTGCTCTTGATATGACATTGGCCGAGCCAGTTAATGTGTCAGGAGCCTTAGTTTCAACCAAATGGTGTTTTCATAGGCTCAAATATAACCTGAGAAATACACATGAAGTACTCTGAAATGAGATATTTATTATCTGAATGACTTTAACTTACATTTGGAAAAGTGAGAGGCAAGATGATTAGAGGTGCTTAACACTGATGTGAGCTACTAATACTTAGAGCAGCATTGTTCAACCTTGTTTACCTCACAGCACACTTGAAGCTGTAATTAAACTTCTGTGGCACACTTAAACTATGTCCATCAGGAAAAAGCGAAAAAGAGAATGTACCTATTGTGCTTTGAACTTCTTTCTTTCTTTTTTTTTTTTTTTTTTGTAGTTTTTGGCCAGGGTTGGATTTGAACCCACCACCTCTGGCATATGGGGCCGGCGCCCTACTCCTCTGAGCCACAGGCGCCTCCCTGAACTTCTTTCAAAGTAATTTAATTAATGATCTTTAAAAATTTGTACAGCATGCTCTGCTGTACAGCAATTTGTACAGCAATACTCGTTGAAAATGAGTGATTTAGAGAGAGAAAGGAGGAGGGGAGATAGCACCTGTGCTGGGCTGAGTTTTTAAGAGAATGCCTACCACTTGAATGCCTGACTTTTCAGGTCAACTCACCTGTGACATCTCATGTTTATCCCCCCACCCCCACCCAGGGATTGGCATTGCTATGATGTCTGGACAGCCCATTTAGACAAGCTTCCTGTGAGAAGAAGGTGCAGCTAGACTTTTGTTATAGATTTACTCTGAGAAAATCCAAATCACAGCCATAGGTTCTCAGCAGGGTCTGCCTAGGGCAAAGTGCCATGCAGGGCGGTGCCAAGGCTCTCTGTTTTCTCTACACCACTCCTCCTCAGGAGAAGAGGGAGTTTGGTGGAGCTACAGAGCTCAGCCTCACTTTCTCCTGTCTCAGAAGGGAGGCAGCTTCCACACAACCAGCCTCACACAATCACATCCTGCTAGATGAAGCCTTCCTTACTTTAGCATTAGCAGAACCTGTGGCTAATGTTAGGTGCAGTTGATTAATACTGACTGTGTTTGCTTTTCTGCTCTGTATGTGAATGGCTGGCCTTCTGTGACGTCATTTAAGAATTTCATACAGCTGTCGATTTGTGTTTACTTGTGTCCTTAATGCAGAGTCTTTCTAATTTTGATGTAAAGGAAAATAATTATATGCTTAGGATACCCAGCACACATATCTACCAGTCTGGCTTTAGAAGTGATTATTCTTTTTTCTACCAGTGCCATATATAGTATATGTTCACTCTTAAAACACACACACCCATTATATGAAGGTCTTTCTACATGAAAAGTACCCCAGTAACACGTGCACATTTAATACATGACTCCTTTTCAATAGCCTTGACAGTCGTGGGGTGGAGTCTGCCTGATATGTGGACGTCTGCTAAATTCACCGTCACTAAGAGGTGATTCTCTGTGGTGTTTCCCTGCAGTGTTCTGAGAGTCTCCCTGTCCGCACACTGAGCATTGCACCTGGCCAGTGCCGACCACCGAGGGCCTTGGGCGGACCCAAGCACAAAGAAGTCCACTTAGAGTGGGGTGAGTGAGTAGACCTTGACCCTGACCTTGACCACAGGTCGGACAGCCAGAGATTAACACTGAATGCTCTGTGGTTAAGTGTTAAGGCTTCCTTCTGAAAACTGTGCTTTGTTTTTCTGTTGAAGATGTCCATCTTCTCCTTAACATGTGTGGATCCAGGTTTTCTGTGTGTGTCGACCCCACCGCCTCCAGTGCTGTCCCTCATCCTGCTGCTCCTGACGGTGCTGTGTGCGCCAGATCCTCCACTCTGGGGAGTGCTTTTCTAGGGAATGCTTCACAACAGCTAGTCTTTTTTAGGAGGATTTCAACTTGATTCATAAGAGAAAAATTGCACTCAATTTAGAAATTAAACTGAGAAATTCCTAAGGGAACATAAAGTGCCTCCGCTGTAGTGACCGCCCTTGCTGACTGGCAGCCGTGGGTCCTAGCGTTTCTGTGGCACCGACTGAAGCTGTGTAGCAGCTCCTCCCATGGCAGCCGTTCACAGCATGTGAAATTCAGTTCACAGTGTATGAAATCACAAGTATATACCCACATAGCTCTAGCAGACTCTCCCACCACTTTTACCTAAAATATTATAAAGTATTGTGCCAATTTTGGATTCTGTACCTTGATTTAGTGTGACCTTCCATTTATTTTGCATTAGTATAGGAGGAAATCTGCCTAACTCTTGATGCGTCTTTTATCTTGGAACTATGTTATTAATTTAATTGAATGTACTTACATGTACTTGCTTTGGATAGTGTGGTGTCTCTTTCTCTTCCGTGTCTTTTTTGGGAGGTGAGTGGAGATTCTTTTGTAAGGGAGATACTGAGGACAGGCTGCCTATGTCATATTGTGCAAAACTTTCATAAAATCAGATGTGATTTGGTCAACTAGAAGCACAAGAATGTTCTAAAATGAGAAAATTTCTTCATTCCCAGATGTTCCCATATCTGAAAGTGGTTGTGAGGTCTCAGAGTACAGTGTGGAGATGACAGAGCCAGAGGACGTGGCCTCAGAGGTGTACCATGGGCCAGAGCTGCAGTGCTCTGTGGGCAGCCTGCTTCCCGGGACGGCATACCGCTTCCGAGTGAGGGCTCTGAACGACGGAGGGGTGAGTGCCATCACACCACCATCAGGACACAGAATGCTGGCACTTCTTTTTCTACCCTCAAGACTCCTCACATATATATATTTTAAAAAGAAAAAAAAAATATATATATATATATATATATGTTTGTTTGTTTGAGACTGAGTCTCAAGCTGTTACCCTGGGAAGAGTGCCATGGCATCATAGCTGATAGCAACCTCCAACTCTTGGGCTCAGGCAATCCTCTTGCTTCAGCTTTTCCATTTTTAGTAGAGACAGGCTTTTCATTTTTTTGCTCAGGCTGATCTCGAATGCATGAACTCAAGCAATGTACCTGCCTTGGCCTCCCAGAGTGCTGGGATCACAGGCTTGAGCCACCGCACCAGCCTCATTTCTGAGTTGGTGGTAGCATTGGAAATCTTATGCTTGTTCTGTTCGCACCTGATTCTGTTAATCCAGCACTGAAGATCATTAAGAGCACCACCCTGTAGATGCCTTTGATAGTTTTTTAGAAACTTCCTATTCTCTCTCTGTCTTGATTTTGTTATGGGCTACAAGTACTTCTAATAAAAGTTCTCTGCCACCTTATCTAAGCTCACCAGCGATGTCTTAGGCCAGATTCTAAAATTTGAAGGGGGTCAAGCCTGGGAACACCAGCTTATTTGCTTTTTGGTTTGTTTCAAGTGAAAACTGAGCTCTCTGGCCTTTCTTCCTTCTGCCCTGTCCAAAGTTGTCAGTCTGTGTGTCTGTGTTTTATCCACAAAGCTGGTATCCTTTTGTTCTTTGAAATTGCAAAACGAAATGGATTTTGGGACAGATTCAGACTGAGCAGTAGGAGGCCCAGAAACTGTGGGTTGCTTGGTGTGTGAGAGATGGGTGAAGACTTTTGGAAGGGTAGGTGTGGTGGGCAGCGCAAATGGGTATTCAGACTGCCTCCCCAAAAAAACCCTAGGGGGTTGTACAGATGAGCTCCATGCAATAGTTAGATCTAATTAATTGATAAAATTTTCAAAAATAAGGAAATCCAGCTTGCAGTGACACTAAGTTGCTGGTGACTCTTCTCTGGTTCTCACCCCTTCAGATGGAAAACGTGTTTGTGTTTGGTCAGTTCCGTAGCCTCAGCTGTGTGTGGACACGTTTGGTCTGAGGCGGCATCTCACACCATCTCAGTAGGAGCTGGATTTCTTCTGATTCCCCACAGCACAGACATTAAACACAAACACACAATTCTAAACATTGAAGCTGACCCCTCCCCCAAACTTTTGTTAAGTACAAACCAGGATGAATGGCAGTGCCCACAGTTGCATCTGCCCCTGAGAACGCAGTGCAGGAGCTTTAGTTTTCAAAACGGAAGATACTGATAACTAGAAATGTCTGGAATTGGATAGCCAATTCCAAGTACATTTTTTGTGCATTAAAAGTTAAACTGCATGATGAATCTGACTTGGTTTGCTTTGCACCCCCTGAGAAATGTTAAAGCAAAATGCCAAGTTTTGTCAAGAACAAGCATGCTTTTATTTCTCAGGTCACAGTAAAAGAAAAGTGATTTATAAACCAACTTTCCAAGTCTTTTGACTTAAAAAAATGCATACAACAGGCACTTAACACTCAGGGAATGTGTATAGGAAAACACCTCACACATGTTCAAGTCCAAATGAATACCGCTGGGTGGTATTTTTTAACTGTTTGTGTTGGTGCTAGCCCGGCCCTTACTGGTTTATGAGCTTTCATATGCGCAGACACACACAAGCTTGTACACATAAGTGTGTGTTCTCTTCCAGTACGGCCCCTATTCTGATGTCTTGGAGATCACCACAGCCGCTGGGCCCCCGGGGCAGTGCAGAGCGCCTGGTGTTTCTTCTACACCTGATGGGCGTGTCCTGGTGAGCTGGGAGGTAAGTCGGGCACATTCTGCTTCTATTTCTCTCTCTCCTACTTTGTCAGCCCCCAAATAAAAATACACATCATGAGGAAGCCTCAAAGCCAGACGCATAGGTAGAGTTCCTGGCCCTGTGTGCCGGAGCTGGTCGGAGGTGGGAGGAAACACAGGATCCCTTCCCTGTTTTGCTTTGGTCTGTGTTCTCAGTCCCCGGGGCCACACTGCTCTCTGTCTCAGTTTAGTTAGATGCAATACAGTGGGATTTTCTCCTCCATAGAATTATGCTACTTAAATTTCTGCTTTCTAGAGTCCTGAGAGCTCTGGTGCTGACATCTCAGAGTACAGGTTGGAGTGGGGAGAAGATGAAGAATCTTTAGAACTCGTTTATCACGGATCAGACACCTGCTTTGAAATCAGAGACCTGTTGCCTGCTGCCCAGTATTGCTGTAGACTGCAGGTAAGTTGGTTTTAGGACAGTGTTCTGTGGAAGACACTTTAGGAAGCCTACTCCAAGGCTCATGGTAGGGAGGATGATGGTGGGGAAAAGATCCTTTTAAATAAAAATAAATTTGGTTGTTTTGGCATTTTATAGTTAATTGCTGCTTTTCTAGGAGATCATAATTATAAAAACAAAACAGGATTCTTCTCCTTTCTGGTTCTCACTACCCCTGCTTCTGGCCTGCTGGATAAGTGGCCAAGTACAAGGTGAAGGTGTGAAGCTCCTTAGGGTACCTTTTGTCTCCTTCCTCTGAGATGCACATTTCAGTGGGAAAGCTGCTTAGAACTGGCAAGACACAGTAAATCATTTTACCAGCTGTTGCATGGAGCCAAAAGCAGTATTAGAGTAATTTGGATTGGCCTATATTAGATTTCAGGACCCAGCTCCTCCTCCCACTGACTGGCATTAAGGCTGGTTAATCTGTCTGCTTCCACTGGGGAGTCCAAAGAGCAAAGCAACAAGAAGGACTGGTTCATAGCATCACACCTAAGTGACAGTGATCATGGCTTTACTTTTACTTTATTCACTTGGAAAAATTATTTTTTTCCCTTTTGTAAAGCCTTAGTGTCCTGTGAAAATAGAGTTCTTTGTCCTTTCCTTTTTATACATTCAGTAACATTTTTTATAATAAATTTCAAAACAGTTTATTATAGTGATATCGCCATTTTCTTTTCTTTTTTTTTTTTAAATTAAATCATAGCTGTGTACATTAATGCAATCATGGGCTACAATGTGCTGGTTTTACACACAATCTGAAATGCTTTCACCAAACTGGTCAACATAGCCTCCACAGCATTTTCTTAGTTATTGTGTTAAGACATTTATATTCTACACCTAGTAAATTTCACATGTACCCTTATAAGATGCACTGTAGGTGTGGTCCGACCAATTACTCTCCCTCCACCCATCCTCTCCCCTACCCTACCCTCCCTCTCCCCTTTCCCCTTCTTCTTGGGCTATAATTGGGTTATAGCTTTCATAAGAAAGCTATAAATTGTTTTCATAGTAAGACTGAGTACATTGGATACTTTTTCTTCCATTCTTGAGATACTTTGCTAAGAAGAATATGTTCCAACTCCATCCATGTAAACATGTGATCCATTCATGAGTTGTTGAGTACTTAGGCTTCTTCCATGACTTAGCAATTATGAATTGGGTTGCAATAAACATTCTGGTACATATATCTTTGTTATAATGTGGTTTTTGGTCTGCACAGCCAAGAACACAGTAAGTAAAGCAAACATACAGCCCTCAGAATGGGAGAAGATATTTGCAGGTTATGTCTCTGACAAAGGTTTAATAACCAGAATCCACAGAGAACTCAAACATATTAGCAAGAAAAGAACAAGTGATCCCATCTCAGGGTGGGGAAGGGACTTGAAAAGAAATTTCTCTGAAGAAGATAGTTGCACAGCCTACAGACACATGAAAAAATGCTCATCGTCCTTAATCATCAGAGAAATACAAATCAAAACTACTTTGAGATATCGTCTAATTCCAGTAGAGTTAGATATTTGTGATTAGCCCCTATCACAAAATCCCAAAACCAGAGATGTTGGCATGGATGTGGAGAAAAGGGAACACTTCTACATTGCTGGTAGGAATGCAAACTAATACGTTCCTTTGGAAAGATGTTTGGAAAACACTTAGGGATCTAAAAATAGACCTGCTATTCGATCCTACAATTCCTCTACTAGGTATATATCCAGAAGATCAGTAACATTTCTTGAGTGCTGTGGTGCTTTGTGCTAGAATCAAAGGTTGAGCAGGAAGAGAGAAACAAAGATTGATCAGGTGTAGCTGTTGACTTTATAAAGTCCCATCTTCATACATGTTTATTAGATTTGAATAGATGAAGGAACAAAGATGCAGATTTAAGTCAAATCAAATTGCTTATTGCTAGTATACCCAATGTCTCTGGCCTCTTTGGAGAAAATATTCCCTTCATAACTTCATTTTCCAGATCACCTGAAGTATTTCTGTTAAATTCTGAAAACTGCTTTTTCTTAAACATTCCTGATTAAACTCCTTTGATACATACCTTTCTTTCTTCTTGAATAAAGCCCCAGAGACATGATTAGCCTTTTGTCAGTGAGTCAGTATCACAGCAATTATCTGATCTTTACAATGGTGGTGTTGAGTCATTGGGAAAGATTAAATTATGCAGCACACCCCTGTTTTGGATCAAGGCAGAATGTAAGTAGAGAGCTGCCACTACAATAGCTTCAACTCCAGTATGCTTTTGGAATTTTGGTATCTCTCTAAAATGTTCATACATATGTATGTGTGTGTATTTTTTTTTCCCCTTTCAGGGTATATGAGGTCACTTAACATTGACTTCTCAAAACTGCATTATGAAAGACGCATTAACCAGAATAGACCCTGCATGATAACCTTATCTCCCTGTATTAACAACAGTAGAAAATATTTTCAAGTGTCTGTATTTACTTATAATAAAATGAATCCAATCTTATAAGGGATTAGTACTCTTAAACCACCATCAATGATTGGCCTGGGAACATAGTAAGACCCACCTTTAAAAAAAAAAATTAGCCAGATATGTTGGTACACATCACTTGAGCCCAGGAATTCAGCCTTGGCAACACAGCAAGACGCTGTCTCTTAAAAAAAAAAAAAAAAAAAAAA